GTATAATGCGATTTATTAATAAAATTCGGTGTAACAAAAGTTTTTTATTATTAAAAAAAAAAAAAAATCTCAAAATTCGCTGTGACAAAAATTCGTTGTGACAAAATTCGTTGTGACAAAATTCGTTGTGACAAGGTTTGACTGTATGCAAAAACCAAAATCTATTTTATTTTAACATCTTGTTAATATTAAAATTAAGTTTGGTTTAGTTTGCACCTTCTTTATCATAAAGAGTAAAAAAATCACATCACTTGAGTCAAGACAATAGTCTATTTTATTAAATTCGAAACATATAAATAGGATGGCTGTCCTCATATTTTTTTCATAACACCAACGTAGAATTAACGTTATTTTATTTATTTAATTAATGATTAGATTTGTTATGCGAATAATAATTTACATATACGAAGGGAAATTATTCATGAATTTAATTTTAATAAAAGTCCAATCCATTTGAGAATTAAAAGATGTGTTTTTACTAATTAATACTTCACTGGAATTTGAATTAACAACCTGAACCAATCAATTGCTTATGAACTAAAAACTCGGGATTTTTTTGCTCATAGTGATATTCTATTAATAATAATAATAATAATAATCTAATACATAAAACTGTTCACGTTAGATGAAGCCAAGATGTTTGTTAATTAAAGTTTTAACTTTACGCCAAAAAAATTAAACATAATTTCATATGAGCATTATCTGATTTGGATGTGACTTACACCCAAAATAATCATACCACTTATTAATTGCTGTGGTGGCTCTTTCTAAATTAAATAAAAAATGTAGACGTTACACTGATGTTTATTACTTCTTACTTAGTGTTAACATAAATAGAGAAATCTGATTAGAGATGAAAAAAACAACTATAGTCCTTAAAATTTTCTATATCAAAAAAAATTATCATTTCTACACGTATAAACAATTTTTTTAATATTTATGAAAAACTTATTATTACTTATTATTTATTAGAAATTTCAATCAAAGGATTCTAATTAGTATATTTAAAGGGCTGTCCTTCTCTTGTGTAAAAACTGATCAATCTATAACGCAAAATTGAAAAGCGTGAACCAGAGAAGTCTTGGCCAAATTAAAAAGCAGCAAAAAGCAATCAGATTTAATTTTTTTTCTGTATTACATAAATGATATTATTATAAATAAAATAAATAACATTACTCCTTGAATTCTTCATTATTACGTGTTCTTTTATTCGACAATGGTGTCTGGAAACAATGAGGTATTCTCATTGTATTGTTGTTAGTTTCTTTTGTCAAACCCGCATTTTTTACCAATTCCCTTACACTCACACTCAGATTCATCTTGATCTTCTACATTATTTAATATCATATTTAAACATTCCTTGACTATAGCCTATCAACAGAGCATTTAAAGTAAATTATTAGAAAACAATGACATCAAAATGATTTCAATTATTGTTGCTGAAGAATTTTTTTATCTAACTTGCCTTTGCTTTCCATGTAACGGACAATAAGGGTAATGTTTCTCTACTATGTGTTAACACACTATCTGCCACTTTGAAAATTTGACTACGACGCATTCTGCATACATAACCTTCAGGGCAATCTAACTCAACAGTCATTAGACGAGAGCCTTAAAAATAATTAAAAGAAAAACTTACTGGTCAACAAAACAAAGTACATAAAGTGGTTTGACTGATTAGAATAAATTGTTTCACTTACCTCCATGTACAAATCCAACAGTTCTTATCTTTTGTAATATTGGTTTGGACCAATTTACTTCGCTTGCCAATTGCACTAACATATCTTTTAGCATTTTTGGTAATTTTAGTCCACTTTCTACCATCCATTTAGTGCCTTTTTCACTTTTAAAGAATCTTCCTGCTTCAGAGCTTCCGAACTCCAGATTTCCAGCTGTTCTTATTATAAGGTCACCCTTCCTCCCGATTTTCCACCTTGTAAGAAAGCTTTTCCCAGCGATTGTTCTACCAACATTCTTTCTTAATCCAGATGTGACGCTTGCCGATTCGCTTCTAATAGATTAATATGTTGCAAATTAATACAATTATGTAATATTAAGACCTCCAGCAGGTTAAAAGTTTACTATTACCTAACCATTTCCATGTCAGATATATTGGAAAAACATTGATCTATTATAGGTCCCCATAAATGAATATTATACCAATTTTCTAGATGTTCTTCTTTTAAAGATCCACTTTCATATTCGCGAATCCTGAGTTGATAATGAATTCATTCAATTCTGGTATATAAATTAAAATAAATATTCAAATATATCGTTACTTACAGTGAATGCATCACTAATTTGAACCAATCGAAATCATGATGGAGTTCGCGGTTATAATGAGTGCTATTACTATATGGTTTGTCGAGAGTTTGTCGAAGCTCTTGTATATTATTCTATTCATAAAAGAATATTAATATTGAGATACACACATACAAATTATATATATATATAGACTAACACAAATTTATATATATTTACTTTCTCAAAACTCACAATATAGTCTAACAGGTCGTCTGGAAGTACTGGTAAATTTTGAACTTTACTATCGCGAATTTCCTTCATTTCACTTTCATTAAAAATACCTTCATTGATGTAAGAAATATCTTCTGTATCTAAAATAAAGCTATGTGATAAGCTAATAACAACAGTATGAAGAAAAGAAAAGTCACAATGCTGAATAAGATCTTAGATGTAATTAAAACAAAGAATATCAATCAAATTTACTGTTCGTCCATGCATTTTAATCCAAATTCGTAGAGGGAATCTTCCACCACTTTTCCGCTTGTCAATTTCCACTTACTTTCATTTTTCATAGATTCATACGCGTTGGTAAAACTTACGAAATCAAGTTTTTGTTTTGAGGTAATACTGGTATAATTGTTTGACGTTGATGCTTTGAATGATGAAAAGCCTTCAAAATCATACAGATCACCCATCCTCATGATTTGATGTTGTGGCGTCTAGCATAGTGGACACTGTTGCAGATCACAAAAAAATGATCAACATAACATATGTTATGGTGAAAGTTCTTGCAAAAGTTTGATTATAAAAGTGTGAGATAATTTTGATCTTGTTGATGATCTGGACTTAGAGATGCTACAGCTATATTCTAGTGAAGTTTCAGAAGCAACTGGCTCTGTGTAACTGCCTGACTATTATACAAATGACTGTTGCACAAAATGAGTGTCCATTATGCTGTGGCGTCTCCTTTAAATTCTTTGAGGATTTGAAAATGATTCGATTTGTATATCTGCGATATTATCGGTGATGATTGAGGTTGATTCGGTTGGTTGAAGAGTAGGAGAAGGAGAAGATTCGTCGTTAAAATGAAGGAGAGTGCTGCCAATATAAGAGAAATAATGTAATCATTTAAGATTGTAACCACTGATTTTTTTTAAAAAAACTAGAGTGACGACAAACAGCGGGCGATAACTACCACCACCATTCTTAAAACACTTACTCGCTTCTTTCAATAATATTGGCTTTTTTGCTTCTACTTTCACGAGGCATGATTTTAAAATTTTTTTTTTATAAAAAGAAGTTGTGATTGATCGACTCATACACATTAATTATTTATCCTATTGGTTTTTTTTTGGTAGGACAAACATGCGAATTGATTTTTTTTTTTTTTTTTCTTGTAAAAACAATTTATTTTTTGACAGAGTCCAAGGTGACAAAACGTGAATGTTGTTGTTCGGTTCTCCTAAAGAAGACGTGTTAATAACTAACCAGAGGTACTATTTTTTATTTGTATTGATTGATATTTTTATTTTAGTTTATAAATATTTTAATTGGAAATCAAAACACGGAGCAGATCATTGTTGGGTAATTACAAGATTTTCATTGATAATATTTTGCTTTTCGTAATCTATAATAATATTATTATAAATATTATAATCACAAGTCAAGGCAGCACACCATTGAATATGAAACATTTCAAATATGCAATGTTTGATTATCGGAAATGGCAGGTGTTGAAGCACGCACGCTACCTTGAACACTTTACAGTCATTCACACATATTCCTCATGTACATAAGGCTAATCTGACTGCACACCCCGATGATACAATGATGCTGCAGAATTTTCAGGGGGGGGACAAGGCCCTGAGATTTACCGAGATTGCATCAATCATCAATGACACTTTCACTAATCTTCCCTCACCAGAGATGGCTCCTGGCATGCTAGCCGAAAAGTTGTCTGCAATGATCCTACCTATAGGGTAAGGATGGCACTGTGACCAAGTCGCAACTCTGTTGATGAATTGTAGTGCCATGTAAATATCCAGATCCATCAAAGCAACAAGAACCTGCAACTTGTTTCAAGCACAGGGGGTCACAATTCAGAGCAGGGTTGATGGCCCTGAAATTGCATTTAGCTCTGATGTTAAGAGGAAAGTTGTAAAATAGTGTTTGTATTGTATAATCATTTTCATAAATACTCTGCTTTTCTTTAATTTTTGTCTGACCAACTGAATTTGTTATTTTAGTAAATGGGGGTAGGGTTGTTGGTGAGTAGGCATGCCACTGACAAGACAGGGGACACCTTTGGGATGTACCAGCCAAGCTCATAGAAAGGGATCTTTTGTCCAGACTTAGGGTCACATGGATGTTAAGCACAGAAAATGTACACTATCAATGTATATTTTTTTCAACAAAATAAACATTTAAATAATTAATTGTTAAATATTAATACTTTTCTTTTATAAAAATTACAGCAACCCAGGACTCAAAACTCTGAATCCAGGGAAAATCCAAAACAATGACCCAGGTTGCAACCTCCTGAGTTGCAGAATTTTCAAGCCATTCTTAACATCAACTTTTATGCTAGTGTGGCAATAACACACAGCAATCATCACACAAGCACCAGCTATCAGTGATCAATGCCCATAGGGTAACAACCAAGCTTGGTCTTGGAGGAAGATAAGGGAATGTTTTGTCCAAAGCCTTCCAACATGTGTGCGGCTCAACCTGTGGAAAAACCCCACAGTTATGGGGCATGCAAAGCATGGTTATTGCATGTTTGTGACAGGAAATTTTAATTAAATCTGATCCCTGTGATCAACATCAGATTTATTATTCATCAGGAACCATAATTGAAAAATAATTTATTTTGTGAATCCCAGAGATCTGGGTAGACACGCATTATTAAAAGTTTCATTTTTGCATGGCCTTGGTATTGTTACTACCTAGGTGATGCAATTGTTTGTTATGTCAATTATATCAAATGTATCAAATAATCATCATAACCATCATGAATATTTGATGGATGGAGGCATTCACATACAAAGAAATGATTAAATAGCTAAGTCTTGTTTATTTTTATCTATATAATTAATTACATTTAAAATATTATTATTTTATTTCAATGGCATTAATTTCAATAATTCTGAAATTGTTTGTTTCTTAGTGTTAATGATTGAATCAATCACACAAGTGATAGT